TTATAACTTAAAAATAATTATACACAGTATCATACTATATGGCTATGTGAAGTGTTTGAGCTTTCGCAATAAACCAAATAAAATTTGATTTTTTTCTATTACCTATTATTATTATTTTATACCTAAAAAAATTTAATTGGATTTTTTTTATCTAATACAAAAACAAAACAAATTTTAAGTTGTCATTCATAAGTCTTAATAACTTAACTTTTTCCGTGTGGGAACTTACATATGTATTCGCTTACCTGCTATGTTTCGTGTGGGAACTTACCAAGCCCCAAAATTTTGGAGGGGCTATTGCAGTCCAACAAAACTATAAGTTTTAAATAACCTATTGGGGGTAAACTTTATTTAAGATCAATTAAGAATATTTTTGGACCTCTCTCGATCCCTGTTAGCTGACTACCTAAAATGTATGATATATTTTTCTAACAATGTTGATCTCTAGACCTCTCTCTCTCTCTGTTATCAGTCCATTTCTTTATTAACTTATTTACAAATTTGAAGTTATTTGTGGTTTTTTTCAACATTTAACTTTAAATGTTGATAAAAATAAATTGTACCTATGTTAGGAAGATTTGCGTAAGTTGACAAATCTAACGTTCAATGTGTTTTTTAAATGAATTGCGGAAAAAATATCCCTAGCATATTTTATACATAAGATATAATAGAAATAAAATTAATATTATTGTATATTATTTTAAAAATTGTTATTTTACCCTGAATCATATATTTAAAAAATGCATACATGTAGTATATGCATATCGCATATGTGATATTATATTACCTACCCAGTACCCAGCCACGAACTTAAAATAATAATAATATTTAATATAAATTAAAATGTAATGTGATTATAATTTTATAATATTATTTGTCTACAATGACTATTGAATATAAATGCCGTATCTACTATACCTAAATATTATACCGGAATTGAAACAATTTACAACTGATTGGTCATTTGGAATTACATCTTGAACGAGTTTATTTTGAGTATACTGTATTACTGTTGAAAATGCCGTAAGTTTAACCATTATGGTATACATTTTATATATACATATAATATGATATAATAGGTACATGTATATATTTTGTAATATTAAATTAGGGTATAACACCGTTTTTATAAAATAACAATTTTTAATGTAATATACTCGTATAATATGTATTTCATTTTTTATATAATACAATTTATAAAATAATTTAATACTACCTGTATAATGCTTATTATTAATGCTACTGGGGATTTTTTTTTCTAGTGCAGGAATTTTTTTTTTCCATTTACCATTTAAAATATTTTAATAACTTTACATAAATCTGTTAATTTTACTAACGTAGGTTAGGTTAGACAGGTAGCTATATTATTTTATTTTATGTACTTTACTAATACTATAGTACCATCTATACTGGTTCCCATTCAGAGTATTAAATGACGATGTTTAAGATTCTGAGGAAGGAACGACATTGAAACGCTTATACTATGAGTGTTCGATTATAGGCCAAATAGTTAGTAAAATGTATTATAATTCAATTTTGTATTTTGTGGACAAGATGATTTTGCATTTATAACAAAAACACAAAATATAGTCTAATATAACATTAATATAACATTTGTATTATATTTTCGCTTGAAGTATTCGCAACGAATTGTGTATTATTAAATTGATTTAACTAGGTATTTTAATTTTAATTTAACAATATATAAAACCATTAAATCTAATTATAATAAAATATAATATTATAACTTATAACGAAAAATAATAYTATATGTATTAAATATTAACCTAACCTAACCATATGGCTACCAAACAATTATAATAACATTTTAATTATTAATTTGGTTTTTTCCAATTATTTTAAAAACTAAAATGTACTGATAATTTTCAATTTCAATTTCCTAAATTTACGAACTAAATCCAATTGGCTTCCAAAAATCTTCATCGAAGTTTGTAATCAGAGCATTTTTTGAAAGTTGAGAAATTGAAGTTGTACAAATATTTTAAAATACCTTATTTAAACGTCTGAAATTATTAAGCTGGTAAAATAAAAATAAAATTGTAATATCATATTTTCAAACCCCACTCCCAATAAAAACTCCTGCGTATCTGAACGTAATGTAATGTAGTAATTGTTGTTAGAGAGCGGTTATTTTTTTTAGTTTTAGTGTGGACCAGTTAACATTTTTGCCCCACACGCTTTCAAAAATTTTAATGACGCTACTGATCAAGAATTAATGACAATAAATTAGTGGAATAAAAGTTCAAACAGGTGGTTGTTTTATATTATCTCTGAATAATAATAATTTTTTTTATCTACAACATGGTTACTACCAGTATTAAATATTTAACCATTGTTCTGTGATTTAACTATGGTTCATAACAATTATTATTATTCACATGGTTGATATCAGTTATCAATTATAGTGCCTTATCACTTTATCAGAACATTCAGAAGGTTTAGAATAAATTGTAAGACCAAGATTTAATTTTTTCAATTTATATCTTTTTTGTGTGAATTTAATTTATTTCTAAATATTTTAATAGTATTTAAATATGTTAACTTTTGCTAAGCTCTTATAGTTAAATCTATATTTAAAATGAATAAAAGTTATTCGTTGAGACGTCTATGTAACTTGCATGGGCATTTAATTAAGCAACATCGTGTCATTCGTTACAAATCAAAAACTAGCAATTACATAAATTCATTTGTACTGTATGATAAATTTATATGTGAACGACGTTCTCAGTCAAAATGCAGCGTCTTGGTACAGGTTTCTTCGGAAAATTCATGTTCTGATCTACATTCATATTGCTCCAAATTTGGTTCAATCAAAAATATTTTTCATTATCAACTGGCTGGTTCAAATCATTTTGTGCTTACTGAATTTGAAGACCAATCGTCAGTAAATTCATTGATGGACCAAAGTACACATATTAAAGATTCAAATGTTATTGCTGTTAGATCACCATTTCTTTGGTTTCGTTCAAATGCAAGTCAGAAAAATTCAAAATTATCAACTGTTGAAAAATTTGATTTTCCGTTTAAAGCTAATCAAACAATGATTGAACCTAATATTAAAGATATTGGACTGGAAAAACTAGATTCATTGTCTAATCAGATGTTATTATTATTGAAATGTACACAGCTGAATGATATTGGTACAAGATTGAGGTTTCTAACAGCAATGCAAATTGAAAATGCACTTAAAGGTATTTTTCCTCTATCAAAAGTATTACCTTTTGGTTCATCAGTAAATAGTTTTGGTAAGATTGGTTCAGATATTGACTTAGTTTTAATGGACAGTCATACCACAGAAAATGAAACTAGTCGATTGATTTTTCATGGAAAATGTGTGTCAAATGGTCGGACCCAAATACAAAGAAATATTGAAATACTTGGTGACCTTCTACAGTTATTTTTACCAGGTTGTTCAAGGGTGAAGCGTATTTCTCAAGCAAGAGTACCGATTGTCAAGTATTCACAAGATTTTGTTGGTGTTGAATGTGATCTAGCAGTMTCTAATGAAACAGCTGTCAATATGTCTGAACTTTTGTACATTTTTGGTAATTATGACTACCGGGTCAGGCCTTTAGTCTTTACTATAAAAATGTGGGCCAAAGAGATCAATTTAACAAATAATACACCAGGAAGATGGATAACCAATTTTTCATTAACACTTTTAGTTTTATTTTATTTGCAACAAGAAAAAATCATTCCTGATATTCAGACACTAGTAAAGCAAGCTAGAAACAATGATGTTCGAATCACTAATGAAGGTATCAACTGCACGTTCCTTAGAGATGTATCAAAACTTGACAGAGTTGATAAAAATAATAAAACCTTAGACCAACTTTTATTAGGTTTTTTTGAATATTTTGCATCATTTGATTTTAGTACAAATGCAATATCATTAAATTTTGGGAAAACAATCAATAAGCCCGAATATAGTGCCCTATACATTGTTAATCCATTAGAAGTCCATTTTAATGTTAGTAAAAATATTAGTTCAGAAGAAGTTGAGAGGTTCAGGATAGAACTGAGAAATGCTGCATGGACCATAGATTCTTCTTTAACGAATACAAACTCATTCAACTTATTAGATCTATTCAAAGGTTTTGACGTTAGCAAGAAGAGCCAAATAGTTTTTGATATCAAACATCAAATAAAAAATTCAAACAGATTAGTAACTGTCAAAGATTTATTTGATGATGATTCTCAAACCCAAGAAGACATAAGACTGAATAAACAGTTAAAACCTAGTGAAAAAGAATTTTGATATTGTACATAAAATAAGAATATATAATAAATTATTATATGTTTTTTCTTTAGTTTTTGTTTTTCATCCTGTTTTATGTCAACCTAATATAATGTACTATTAATAATATCATTAATATCTCTGAATTATTTTTTTGTGATTATTTAAATTTTAGATATTAATAAGGACTGAAGACACGGTATACAAAAATAATTTCACCAATTTTAAACAACTCATTCAACAACTAGAATTACATCATTTATAAATATTATTTCACAAATAGTAGGAATATGTTGCTTTATTAATTCTTATTAAAGAACTTGAATAAAACTAAAAGAAATCAGAAGTGAGTAATCAACAAAACAACTGTAATTTAGCTGATTAATTTGTAAGAATCTTCAATATATTTATCTGCCCCTTCAAATATTTGTCGCCTCCCCTGAAATTCTATTAATAACTATTGTAATAACAGTTAACCCCTCACTCTAATATAATCAACTATAAGTCTATAAATGATTTTAGTACTTATAGTTATAATCAATGTTGGGTGCAATAGTAATAAACTAATAAGAAATTAATTGTCGACAACAAATAAAATGTTTAAAAAAAACTAACAGAAGTTGCTTTGTTGTATAGTAAGTTTCAAGTGTTTCTTGTTGTCAAGTGTGTCATTCTTTTTTCTATGGATGGAGGGATTTAATTATAAAAAAACAATTTTATTTTGAAATACAGTGGGTGTATTATTTTTCCCACAAAAATATTGAATATTTTATTACGGTTATACTTTATATACTTCAGGAAAAATATCCCAATTTCTATTGTTAGTAACATATCAATCATAATTGAATTATAATTTATATAACACAAATAACCACAATTTTGTTCAACATAAAGTCATTAGCTAATTATTATTTACAGCGCTGTATAAGCAAGGTATTGTACAACTGAGTTTTATGATTTCTAATATTTGACTACAGCTACTGCTAGTGTAGTTTAATAATTTGAATTGATTATATTTCCTCAAAATGTTTGTACTATAACTTCTCATTACATAAAAAAAAAAAAAAAAAATCCAAACAGTCATGACTATTTTGACGTTGATTCACCAGTCTCATAAGACCTGATTATAAATGCAAGTAAAATCATTAAAAATTAAAAATAAAATACAACAAATTAATGTTTCATTTAGTTAATTATAATTTAATCTTTAAATTCTGGAAACACCAAAATAGTAAACAATTTATTTTTTAAGGCCAGCATAAAAATGTAATATTATTTACTATTAAGTATTAATTATTAATACAAGTGTAAAGACCAATTGTCATTTGCATTACCTTAATAAAACAGAATATATATTAATTTAACATTTTTAAGTATAATACCAACATAGTCAAATTGTTATCATTTCATAACATCATTATTTGTTGGAAAATAATTACCGATAGTGACACAGATGTTATAGGTATTTTTTCAATAATAATAACTAATAATAATAATAATAAAAACGGACAGTCTTTGAACTTATTGGTAGAAATGTTACAAATTACCATAAYTATCTAGATGGCAATTTATACGACACATTTTATTGCCAAATTTATTAAATAATGCATAACCATATTTTGTTTTAACCGTAGTACAATACAAACACATCAATATAATAGATTTCTCATTTGGTCGCATACAAATAAAATGATTTAAAATWTATATACATGAAATTTTGTCTAAAATTGATAAAAATTAATTGTACATTATTCATTAGAATTAAGTTACATTTCACGAATAGTTACTAAAAAGATAAAAATGTATAAGATAACTTAGTAGTATCTATAGATCACTAAACATAATATTGAGAACTAGAACATAAATATTATTTTAAAAAATCCTAATAATCAAAAAGTTATTTCTTGATATTAAAATTAAAATGCACACTATTAAGCAAAAAAAAAATATTAACTTAATTTTTTTTTTTGTTATTGTTTAATTAAATAAAATTGTGATAATAGAAAATGTAACCCGAAACTTCCCTAATCACGCACACAATGTAGAACTAAATATTAATTATTGATTGGAAGACATCAAGGTAAAAATTCAAAAACAACCCAATCAATAACATATATACACACATATAAATGCATATACATATATATATATTATCTAAATATATATATATTTATATATGTAAATATATATGCATATATATTTAACAGGATATCAAAGTAGAATATATTAATTATTATACATGTAGTAATCTATATTAAATTTAAAAATGAAAAAAGATAATTATACTTAAATTGTGATCGATAAGATTTTTAACTAAATATTAATTTGTATTTAAAATTTGTGTTTMAAATTCAATTTAAGTCTATATGAATGTGAGAGGTAGATTCGTTTCGATAAAAAATTATTATTTTCATTATCATTTATTTATTGTCTAGTTGGCATTATTTATGCTACGTGCTTTTTTGGCTACAGCTCTAACACGTTTCGCAGCTTTGGGAATAGCTAATTCTAATTTACGTTTTACACCAGTACTAGTGGATGGTTCCTGCTCATCAGAACTCTTCACTTCTTCAATTACTACTGGTTCACTYGGTTCCACAGAATCCTCGTTAGTATTTTCTGGAATTTGGTCACCTTGACTATGCAATCTAGTGCTTACAGCATTGGTAGTAGAATTTAAAGCAGGTGGTCCCATAGCTAAAGATAAATCACTAGCAGTAGTACTGCAGGATGAACAAACTGAAACTGTAGACGAAGATGATGCTGATTGTAGATATTGAATTTCTGTTTTGCATTTATTAAGTTCCTATAAAAGTAATACAAGTATAAAATAATTTTTTTTTTATGTATATTTATTTAAAATGTGGTTAAATATCAAAATGTACTCTATTTATTTCTAAAATACATTAGATAATATCATACATGCAATGGAGGAAGAAAGAATTATGAATGAAAAATAACCTTAGAGCTTGGGAAAAAATTGTTATAACAGCAAAGAACTTTCAATGAAAGTGCAAAACTTTCAATAAAATTCAACTAGGAAATATCAGAACAATTAATATTAATAGCAAATTTAAAAAAGATAATGTTTAGACCGCATTTCTACTTAGCATTGCATAACTATTTAATAATAAGAGAAATGCAGTAAGCAACATTGGTATCTACAACATTGATTAGAAATATTTCAAAAGGAAATTTTCTCAAATTGAAAAAATGGCCAACACAATTACTTTTGATAATAATAAAAAGTAATAATATCAATCTTTTATCAAGTACAGAAGGTATAATATTTTAGAACGAAAAATAATTATTTAAAAAAAAAAAAAAACAGAAATGAAATCCACAGAAACATATCTAGTCACATATTAACATATGGTTTCAAAAAAAAAATATGTTGATCAGAAGAATCGTTACATAACAGCAATAATATACAGAAAAGCACTCCTAAGTGATAATGACTATAATTATTATATTTAAGAACAACTAGATTGCAATTTGCTGCCAATATATTATATTGTAATTGCTTTTATTGGACTTTCAGGTGTAAACACTAGAGCTGAAATTTCAAACTGTTTAGTTGAAAAATGTTTTAAAGTATTCTTGTGGTTATAGATAGAATATATAGATAAATATATTTATAAAATTATAGTTGTGATTTATATCAACAATAATTTAGTCTGGATTCACTCATGTTAAAAAAATGAAACTTCATTGCATATTATTAATTTTAATACTAACTTGTAATAATGTACTGAATTTTCGATTTGTCTCTTCATTCTTCTTATCATATTCATCCATCCTACTTGAATATTCTACTAGTGTTTTATGTTGTTCAGCCATTTGTGATTTGCATTGCTTTAACTCGCGCTGCATATTACCTGATTGAGTTGATGTTCTATAAAATATTTTAATATATGTTTACTAACATTTTAAAAACCTAAATTAATATTTAGAAAAGCATTGACTGTATCACATATTAATTTCAAACTGCAACATGTCACCTAAATTTGCCTTTTTTTTATCCTTTCTTATAATATATAGTAGGATATACTATGTAAGTACCAACACCAACCATAGAAAATAAAATGTATTATCTAAGATTTTAACGTAAAAATAGTTAATAATAGTGAAAGAGCAAACAAATAAAAATTGTTGTGTTAATAATTTCAAATTATACTCACTTGCGCAATTGTTTTCGTAAGTCTAAGAAATCTCTTTCCAAATGACAACTTTGAGACCTAATAAAATAAATAATAAAAAGCTGAAGAAATGTAAAGATTTAAATATTTTAATTTAGAGGATTACAAGGCATAATTTATCCATGAACATGATTTTTTTACTGGATAAACTTATGGAGACAGTATAAACAGTAGCTTAAATAAGTTTTTACAATAATATGTGGATAAGATCTTTCTGTATATTGTGTTTTTTTTTATATACAACAATATAAAAGAATCTAATTTTAACAGTAAAACTAATGTAATACATTTTCTATTTTAATACAAAACTCAATTCATTTTATTTTTAAGGCTCAAGTTCAAACAAATAGTTTGTGAAAATATAGTTCACTGTAATAATGAAATTTGTATTTTGACTTACGTTTTTATTCCTTGTTTAATTTTACTAACACTTTTTCGTAACATTGAACCACATTGAGGACTTTCGGATGAAGCCCGTTTCCCTTCTAAGCTTGAAACTGACCCTTCACGTATCATTAAACTACGTTTTCTCAAACACATGCTGGTAATAGTTCTAGTATTGGGTGGACCTAAAATGATTTTAATATTTTATTAAGATAAAATATATTTTGATACTATACCTATACTAAAATAAGAAGTTTTATAAATACCCAAAGGTGATGGGAATTCATGATAATCATTGGCAAAAAGTCGAATTTCTGGAAGAGTTGGTTCAATCTTTTCCCTAAAATATTCCATTGCCATTGTGGATAAGTCAAATAGTTCATCTGTCACTTTATATGGCCTTGCCAACTTTGTAGTAACTTTAATGTAATGTAGTATTTTATACACTTCATCTAAAATCTAAAATAAAAGAACACACATTTAATAAATAAGTGCAATGATAATCATTAATCAGTTTTAAATTACCTCTCCAGCAAAAAAACATATATGTTTTCTTTCAATGTGTTTACCAAATGCCATACGCAATAATAATAATCTCATGTGAAGTGTTTCAACAATATCGGATTCGCATGCGAGTGGATGTTGTCGCCTAGCAGATTCTCGCCTAGGCATTTTTGTTTTAATAATTTGAAAGCGATTTAACATTTGGTTTTGCAAACGTTGAAAAGTAGAATTTAATATAGTACTACACACTACATTAAAATGCCGGGAAATCTGCAAAAATAAACAATTTAATTAAAAAAAATAAATATTTAAGGTTAGGTTAGGTCAGAAATTTTTAATAACTTACCGATCTTAGTTGGGATATGTGTTTAAAATTTGTATATGATAAAATTTTCTCAAGGATTTCATATGGAAGGTCTAGCAAATTAATATGGCTAGAACTACTTTGGCCTAAATTAACTACACTGAAATTTTTCTCAGGTTTTGTAATAACAACCACTTTGGTTGAAGTACCAGAACTGCTACTACTTTGTTGTCTAGTAGATACCATTTTATATAATTTGATGTAGTAAATATCTGACAACTTTCGATGTGTGAGAATTCAATCTAAAATCTTAAAAACAAAAAGAAAAAAAATTATTTATTTATTAAAACAGTCAACTTTAATAAGAAATTTAATTTTATGAACATTTTAATCAAATTACAACATATAAATGAGACGTGGGTAATTGTTTTTTTAAAGTATACCTATAGTTAATTATTTAATTTTTATAATAGATACCTAACCTAACCGGCTAGATTATTCTTAGATATAAACACTATCAAAATATTATATAGAATTATTTTTAGAATTAATCAAACCAGAGAAATAATTATATAAAAATAATAAATGAATTATAAAATATTAAAAAAAAAAATAACATGACATTTTAAAATCTTTTAGCGAGAAATCATTTAAATTTGAGTATCTAAAAAAGGGTTAAAATTCTCAATATATCAATTCTGAATCTAGCAGTAATTATTTAGATACTTTACATATATATACTTAGGCACGCAAACAAATTGTCAAAACCAGTTGTTTATGCAAAATATAATGAAATAAAAACATCTATAATGGAGTGATGAAAACTTATATAATTAAGTATATGCTAAATTATTCTAAGAAGGTAACAATAAAATTGTAATAAGTTACACAACAAAATTAACAATAAGTTTACTATAGCTTAAAATCTAAAAGTTAGTAATAAAAAAAAAAAATGTCGATAATTAATTGTTATTAATAAAATTATTAAAATTGGTAGGTTTTCATAGTAAATCATAAAAACAATAACTGAAAAATAATAGTTATAGCTATTATAAAAAAAAGAGAATATTTTACTTTTATAGAACTAATTATTAAATGAAAATAAGTAAATTTAATTGTATACGAGAGCAACCCTAAATAGTATTATATTGAATTAATTTGCAATTAAGCAACATGAAAACTATGGTGTTAAGAGTTTCACCACAAAATAAATAGTATGTAACCAAATTGATACAGACAAGTCCTAGTTCCAATTTTATTTGGCAAATGTTGAGTTAATGAAATATTAGAAAAATAATAAGTTATAAAATATTATCATTGACCACATCTCCAAAATTCCACAAAACCGTCATACATACACGAATTGCTAGGATACTTGCGCGAAAAAATGTTTAAAATGTCTCGAGACTTGAAAAATGCGTTGGGTCGTTGGTGGCACGACAGACCCAAAACACTACAACAGAGTCACGGCCGAACTAGAGAGTTTTCGAAAATAAAAAAAAGGCTTTCTTGCGGCACGGCAAAGGACTAAGAATGGTACACAAAAATGCGCGGAAGACGACTATGCGAGGACGAGACAATGGACCTTTAAGGACAAAGGCTCGCGTTATCAGGTTTGCTGGGGAGACGAGTGCTCAGATGAGGTGGCGRTACACGGCCGGAGAGGGGTGGTAGCGACGCGAGGGAGGGAAAAAAGCCAGTCGTCCGGTAGTGCCGGAACACTGTTTCGCCTGCGTGCGTATACAAAAATCTCGCGCCCAAAACACAAACGAGCGGACAGTGGGGGAACAACGAAAGCTGAGAAAAAGCTACACCGGGCCCAAAAGTACGGCGGCGGCGTCCTCCCTGGGACCTTATGCGGCGAGCGTAGACCGGTGCGACGGGTGTTCCGTGTTGTCGCCAACACTACATCGATAGTTCGTGCGTCCCGCCGGGCGAACTTCGGCGATCCGCTACCGGCGGGTCGGATGACCACGGAATACGTTACGTTACCTTGGAGTTTTTCGGCGCCACCGGAATATTACGAGAACGGACGGCACGTCGGACTCGGAATAATAATATATATGTGAACTGCGGGCACACAGCAGTGGTAAGCGAAGACCGTTTGAAAATCTTCCGAACGCCGAAACACAAGTCTCGGTAACGAGTAACGACCACAAACTTGGACGGCGGGGCGGTGGAGGCGCAAGGCTGTTGATTGGCACGCAAATGCAGTCAGTACAAGCACCGAACCGCGGGAGAGTTGCCGTACAAATGCGAAATGGCTTCGAAATGCGATCGCGCCAACACTGTGCAGTGTTTTGTGATCGCTGTCCGTACTGGACGGGGAAACGGGATGGGGTACGCGACGTGTACCGCACTCCAGTCGGCGCTCGGTTGGCGGGTGGGACGTTTGGTGGGGCACCGTCGACAAACCCCCGCGACAAGACAAGTCGTAGAGTCTCGAGCGAGCGATCGCCGGGCCGCCGGGGCCGCACAGTGTTGCCAACTTCCAATCGGGTACGTTAAAAAACATGATATTCTCATCGTTCCTTTCTTCTACACTTTAACAGTCCTAGACTCCTAGTAGTCCTACACGGCTACACTCCTACACCGTAAGACGTAAGTCGTAGATGATCTATAATGAATGCAGGRTTATCATATTATTTTATCCTACGCCTTCTAAGCGTGATCGCCGGGGCATAGACCTTCAGCAATTACAGGTTCTGTGTGTCTGTCTTATGTGTAGAGTTAAGACACGGTCGCCAGAGCTACGGCTACTTCATTACACGCGCCGTGACCGTCTTAAATAATAACATGTATATTATATAATAACAACATTATGGTCTTCCACTTTTTGTGGTTTCTGGTCCACACTCCACAGCGGCCCAGCAGCTAGCAGGCAGCTATACCACTTCTACCAGTTACCACCACCACCACTACCTCGAATATAGGTACGATACCACTCGCGTCACCGCTGCGGCAAGGGGTTATTGGCACTAGGAATTATTTTTCTCTCTTCTCTTTAAATTCCCAAACCGGAAGCTACGTTACAATAATAATAATATAGTGTAAATAATATTATATTGTATGTCCCTCGTCGTTTCCACTCGGCAGCGGCAACGCGCCGGCTCAAAGTAGTAATTACATTTTTTTTCCCGCCGTTTTTGCACATATACCTACGTACATCTTAAAATTCTTAAATAATAATAATATTATTATGCTTGCGTATAATAAAATATAATCACACATTCACACCCATCTCGTCTGTAATATCCGTAAAACGTCATGTCTATACGGCGCGGCGTAATCATTGCACTTGCATTTTCAGATGCCAGATAATATCATAGTCTATAATTAAAACTTAAGTGCACATAATATGACGCTGTTACATACTTATACTTGAATATCCATATCATTATTATTAGCTGATACCTAGTATTAAATAAGATTAGGTACGATATAATAGATACTCGGTCATTAAAATGTATGATAAAATAATAATATAGGTATTATAATAATATGCGTTCGGAGTATCACTCGTATAATATTAATGAGRTCGAGGTATCATATAGCCGTAGATATTMATTATAATTTACCGTCTTATTTATTTGATRGTAGGAATAAAAGTCTTTTTTATAAAGAAAATAGCTAATGATTAATATGTAACGATATAATAACTAATAAATACAAAACCAAGATTTAACAAAAATAGTAAATAATAAAATAATTATAAAAAAAAATATTTCATTGAATCGTAGTCAATAATATTATTAAAAAGTAATTATATATTAAACATGTATGTCTAAACTTGGATAATTTGTCAGGAATATTTTAACAAAATAGAAAAAATATTATATATTTATAAAAAAAACCATTGTATAAATTATTATAGCTGTAACTTAATATTTTGGGCTAAAGCTTTTAAAAAATCTTGGAGCTTACAAAGTTTTATCAACTTTTTTTCCGCCGATACTTTTTCCGTTCCCTATACTAAGCTATAGACGTAWCYCAGGRGGGTGGTTGGAAGACGGGGCACTTGCTCTCCCTAGRATTTAAAAATTAATTGTTTTCCAAAACATTATCTGTAACGCGCCAATTTGGTAAACATAGATTACTTTTAAAATGTATAATGAAATCTTCATTTATTTTGCCCCTCCCTAGAAAAATGTCTGGGGACGCCCATGATGGCTGATACCTACATTTCAGTTTTTTAAATGAGAACCCACATTTTACTATAATCTATTTAGTGGATAGTAGTGTTGATGTACCTAATTCAAAATTTGAACTAGTCATTTTACTTTATAAAACACTTAAGTAGTAAGTAGGTACCTACAAAAATCATAATATGGAAAAATTGTTTATTTTTGGTATCGTTATTTAAAAATTCTAAAAATCGAAAGCACGTGAGTGCGTGTGTGTATGCAATTTTTTAATAAATATTTTGTGTAGTACATATAAGGCTATAACCAGTATAATCTAATATTAACGATTTGGACAATATTAGAATATATTATTATTATATTTTCTAAAGTCTATACTCATAATATAGGTAATATACTAATATGTATAGAGTAGGTTAAGCTATTATATATGTGATATTAAACATGTATATTTATGTAATAAGAAAAATCAAAATTAATTCATCTTATCAA